TTCTGCCAGGACAGTCACTTGCCAGCCCTTCCATTGCAATGGACCTGGAGGGGGGAAGTGTTGGCCCCAGTCAGGCTCTGTCTGCCCAGTCCTTCAGAGGCAGGAGGGCTCTCCCTGCATGCACAGAGCCACTCAAAGGATGCAGACAGCTTCTCTGAAGCCTCTTGGAACATTGTTCCTGTCCTCAGAATCAAACCCCCTTGCTATCACAGTTCTTTGCCTTTCTGAAATCTCCAAAAATCAACACATCTCCCTTAACCATGCCTAAACCCAGCTGAAATGGCAGTAAAATTCCCTGCTTTGCAGCATCTATTTATTTACTTAACTCATGTGGGAAGCATGCCAAAAGCAGAGACCAAACAAAAATACACAAACCCAAGAATTCCTACCCTGTCGATTTTCCCTCTGAGTATTCCCAAAATCCTTTGGTAGGCAGGGAAATGCTGGAGGTGCTGGCAGTGCCCACCACGGCTGAGGTGCCTCTGGCAGTGTCTCCTACTCATTTCAGGGGTGCTGTGTGCAGGGATCCTGTCTGACCTACAACATCAGTGGGGACAAGGTAGGGACACTGCTGTGGTGGCTTTGCCATTCTCTGGGCCACCCCTGGACTTTGTGCCATTAGTCCATCACACACAAACACAGAATCAGCTGTTAAATCCCACCCAGGTGCTTTTTTTCTGTTAAATGCACAGAACATGCTGGTGCTGGACATGCCTGTTGCTGAGACCTGAGGAATGGGGATTCTGTGGCTGCAGTCCCCAATCCCCACTGTGGCCAGGACTCAGTGGGAACGGGGGAGAGGGAGCAGCAGGGTGCTGGGCTTCTTATGGTGTCTCTTCCTGTCTTTGGCTTGCAAGAATTTGGCTCCACAAACTGAAATAAAAAGACCTCATGACCCCATAGTGAGACTGCCCTGCCAAGCACTGTCAGATCTAGCTGGGCATGGCTGGGCAGATGCTGTGTGTCCTGAAAGAGCTGATCCCTAAATAAATCACATTTGCATTGTCAGGATGCAGTATCCACACCTCCCACAAGACAGAGGCTCAAGAAAGTGACCCCCTGCTCCCAGGGTGCACATGCTGCGAGGGGTGGGGAGTGTGCCCAGGGATTAGGACCCCAGAAGGAGTTAGGTTTGGGCTGGTGTTGGTATTTATCAGCTGCTTCACTGATATTGATCCTGAGCATGTAACTCACTGACTCCCGGATAATTTCTTGTCATTAGTAAGTCAATAAACAGCTTTGATCCTGACTTCATCGAGCTGACATGATTTGAACATCTTTTCTTGGTGGCAGGAAACTGGCACTGAATCAAGGACATCTTTGGAAAGACTGCTGTGTTTTTAGGAAATTACTCCCAGGAAAATCTGCTGGGGAGGCAGGCTCTGAGAACCCTGGCTGTTCTCCACGGAGATTTGTTCTGCATCATGTGTAAGGAATCATTCTCCCTGGGAGTTCTCAACAGTGAGAAAGGAACTGTTAAACCAGCTCCCCATGAAAACTGGGGTTTGTGATGCCTCTCTTCATGTCACTGCAAGCATGGGTCAGATTTCCCTTATTGTTCTTATCTAACAAACAAATTAAATGGTTTGAGTCTCAATCCTTTGAGCAGAGCAAAAAAAAAAAATGAATCCAAATATCTGTCCACAGCTTTCCCAGAGAATTCAAGGCTGTGAATCTCAGGAAGCACCTAGTTAATTTTTCATGAAGCAGCTCTGCTGCCAAGCTGCTCTATCATGTCACTGGTACTGGTGAGCTGGGGTGGGTGTGCAGCCTTGTCCAGCTCTGCTCCCTGGAGCCCTACACAGACCCAGAAGCCCTGACCCCTCAGCAGCAGGGATGTACCAGTCTCTCAGTGGTCCCTGAGGGATGGCAGGGCAAACCTTGGTTTCCTCAGGCAGACAGGCCATGTCTGAATGATGCCATCAATGGGACAGCAGAGCAGATCCACCTCATTTTCCTACCATAGCTGGGACATTTCCCTGCTCTGACTGGAGCCTGCTAATGCCAAGGTCTCAGACTCTTCTTGGGAATATGTGCCCCTTACTGTTTGTCTGACAGCTTCATTTCAGGTGATCCAAGCGCAGAGAACTGACGCAAACACGTCTGTTCACACCAGTCCTATTCTTCTCCTGTTGACCAAATCCGTTCTGGTTTACTCCATGTTTCCATCCACACTCAGCAATTTGGCTTTGTGCACTTGGGGCTTTGAGAGTCACTTTAGCGAGACCTGGACATCACCACGTCATTCTCTTTATGGGAATCTGCTTTGGTTTTTCCAAAATATCCGATGGTCAGAGACCTCTGCATTCAGCAGCTGCTGGGGAGAGGCCAAGCTGCTGTCATGCCTGAAAGGTCACTGCGCAGGAGCTATTCCCAGAGCTGCCACCCTGCCCCTTCCCTGTGCACTGACCAGTATCAAGGCTGTCTTCATGGCAATTCAGGTTTTGGACAGTGGCTGCTGGAGTATGAAGCCATTCAGGATGGATGATAACTTAATACCATCTTGTTAACACCCTCGTCCATCTTATCAAAGGTCATGATCTCACCATGACAGCTGGGCTTTGTGCTCCAGAGGTCCTGGCTGATCAGGTTGCAAGGAAAGTGACAACTCCTTCAGTGCTTGACATCTTTGCCACCCCTTCCTTGGCCTTTAACTAAGATATTTTTTCAAAGCTGGAAATAATGTGTGTCCAAAGCTGGCTAATCTGCTGGAAATATTTATTTCCAAGTTTACAGAAAGTATTAAGACTGTGCAAGCAATTTTTCTGGATTATTTTTCAGCAGAGCTGGGGAGCAGCCATTGCCATCCACGCCTGTTGTCAGTGAGGACATCAGGGAGTGAAGAGTTCACCCCAGCCCTCCTTGCTGGTGCATTCTCCCCTCAGCACAGCTTTTGCTGTGCTTGCTGGGATGTGCTCCATGCATGGGGACCACATTTGGTCTGGGGCCCATGGAGGAAGGTTTCTTTTCCCTGCCCCAAAAAGCTGCTGCAGTGTCTCTGTGTCTCCTGGGCAGCAACAAGGGCAAGGCCCTGACAAGAAGGTGTCATCCCCCAATGGGATCAACAATCCTTCCAGAACTTCAAAAAGACACCAAACCAACAAGCTCTGTCCTGGGAGCTGCCAGGTCAATGGCATCAGTCTCTCCACAGTGTCTTCCTGTTAAAGCACATCCCACCTCCAGCCCTCTGGAGCACTCCAAGCAGAGGTGCTGGACTTGGAAGCAATTCCATGCTGGTTAGATAAGGACAGCATTTCCCAGTCAGGTGGTGTCTCTCCCAAGAGTCTGTCAGCTCAGGGTATCTGTTAGGCCGTGACATCTGATCAGGCTGTAGGCAAGTTGGATGGGAATGCTGGGCATGTCCTGGTGGCCTGGATAGGGAACACCTGGCTCTATTTCTATCTTCACAGTCTGTCTGTACACAGGAAAAAGTCCTTCATTTATCATAGCATGTGGCACATCCCCACACAAGGGCTTACTGCTCAGCACTGCAGCCCTGAGAACTGCAGAAGTATGAGCAACCAGGGGTGGCCAGTGTTTTGACATTTTTTAGTCAGAACATCAATTTTATTTAGAAAAAAGTAAGAAAGAAAGGCATTTTATCAGGGCATGACATCTCAGCCACATCCACATCTTGACAGGCTGAAAGGATGATGTACCAAACCAGGCACCCAGAGCTGGCTGAGTCTGCGCCTACAGGTCGTTGCTCAATGATTTACCTAACTCCTAATATCTCCAAGGAAATATTTGCAGTGGAAGTCACCAGAAACAAGACCTTGTTTGTTTTGCTCCCCACCAATTATTTTGGATGTCCCAAATGACATCACCTGCCTTTTTCCTGCTGTGAAGCTCTATATATGAAGATCCTGGATCCCGGTGATCTTCAGAAGACAGGGACATTGGCTGGAGAGAGAGCTTGGTCAGGTAAGAGCAAACTTACTCCTCAAAAAGTGTGCTCCTTGCTTCTGCTACTGAAAACCCTCAGTGTTCCTTTGAGAGTGTTGGTCTTTTAACAAAAATTGTTATTCTTGCCTGCTGCCTGCCTGAATTATGTTCTGAGAAGTAAATGGTGCCTTTCAGTGCAAGTTTCTCCAGAAGAGACGTGCGTGTTCATTGGATTTGCAGTCCTTGCAGAAGAAAGGGTATTTCAGGGTTTTTAATAAACAATTATCACTTAAATTATCTTTGGTATAACTCGATTATCTGCCACAGATTTCCAGCTAAGGTGTATTAGACCTCTCACACTTGTTTTGATCCCTTTTTGATGAGTTATTTACATTTAAATAGATTTGGAGCAATGAAGTTCATTTTGGTTCTTTAAAAAAGAAAACGAAGCTACTTCTTTTTCTAGCTAGGTCCCACAGAAATATTTCAATGACACTGAAATGTTAAAGTTTACTTTCTCTTTCTTACAATTCCATGCAGAGGGAAACATCAGATTCTGATGTTTGTGAAGAAATCGTGACATTCACCCTGGAGGTTCTCTCCTTGCTAGATATATTGGTGCATTCGTAGATGATGTTGCTTTTCTTCTAAAGACAACCCTGTTGTCAGAAATGTCTTGTTTTCCCATTCTGTGGCATGCAGGATTTGTTTCTTGGAGAAATCCCCATCCAGAATGGACACACCCCAGATCACGCAGCTCAGTCATGCCATTGCTCACCAGCACCGGGGGGTCACAGCAGGAACATCCCAACAGCCCTTTGCTTTCCCCTTGGCTGCTCTGGCCATTGGTTTTTGGGTAACTGGTGCTGACATTCTGGTTCTGGCTGCAGGAAAGTGCCACCAGGAGGGTTACTGTCCATCATCACCAGTGTGATGAGGAGGCAGGAGAGGTGCCAGCAGCCTTGTCCCTGATTTTGACTTCCCTTACAGGCATTCCATCTTTCTCCTTCCTCCCTCCTTTCTCCTCCCTTCTCTTTCCTCCCTCCATGGGCTGGTGATTGCTCTCACAGCACTGCACTCATGGCAGTCCCTTCCCACAGTTATCAGGACCAAAGATGTCGGTGTTGTGGACTGTTGTCCTCCTCAACAGCCTGCTGATCCCTTCACAAGGACTTGGAATCCCATTCCTGATTGCCAGAGCTGAAACAAATGGTAAGTCTGCATAAACACAATCCTGTAAACAGGATTTATCCCTCTTTTTAGGCCAGTTCTTCTCTCTTTGTCTCTTGGCCATGCTCAGAAAATCAGAAGATGGTTCAGATATGCCCAGAAGTAGTGGCAATGCTGGTAATTTGCATTTATAAAGCACTTTGGAGATGGCACTTCAGACACTTTACAGTGGCTGGTGCCACCACCTCATTTGTATTTGTATGAGGGACAGGGGAGGGGAAGGAAGAGCCAGGCTGGCACACCTTGTGTGCTGAGTCCATGTAGCTCACAGCGACCTCTCATCCTGTTCTTCAGGTTTCAGAGATTCACCAGCCAAAGGTGTTCCCCAGAGAGCTCCACATGGTCTCCTTGGTGGCAATCTTCTCGGCGGTCTCCTTGGCAAAGGTGGTCCTGTTGGCAGTCTCCTTGGCAAAGACGGACCTGTTGGCAGTCTCCTTGGCAAAGATGGACCTGTTGGCAGTCTCCTTGGCAAAGATGGTCCTGTAGGCAGTCTTCTTGGCAAAGACGGACCTGTAGGCAGTCTTCTTGGCAAAGATGGACCTGTTGGCAGTCTCCTTGGCAAAGATGGACCTGTTGGCAGTCTCCTTGGCAAAGATGGTCCTGTAGGCAGTCTCCGACCTGTTGGCAGTCTCCTTGGCAAAGATGGACCTGTTAGTGGTCTCCTTGGTGGAGATGGTCTCCTTGGTGGCCTCCTTGGAGGAGATGGACCTGTTGGTGGTCTCCTTGGTGGAGATGGTCTCCTTGGTGGCCTCCTTGGAGGAGATGGTGCTGTTGGAGGTCTCCTTGGTGGTCTCCTCGGTGGCAATGGTCTCCTTGGTGGAGATGGTCTCCTAGGTGGCCTTCTTGGCAAAGACAGTGTAGTTGGTGGTCTCCTTGACCAAGATGGTGTCCTTGGCGGTCTCCTTGGCAAAGGTGGTGTCGTTGACGGTCTCCTTGGCAAAGATGGCCTTGTTGATACTCTCCTTGACACCGTCCTTGAGCTTCTCATTGGCAAAAATGGTCTCCTTGGCAAAAATGGTCTCGTTGGCAGCCTTCTTGGTAGAAACGGTGAAGAACTCATAGGGTGAGTGAGAGTGGGAGAGCCTGAGCGGCCCGATGTGTCTGAGCCATGCTGGGGAAAGGAGGTCCTGTTCTGGAGCCTGCACACACAGGGCCCCTCCCTCCGCTCCTGGGGTGGGCTCATAAGTGGGGCTTCATCTGCTGGGAGTTTCTGCCTGTGCCTTCCATGTGCCACAAGCTGCTCCTGGCTGGTGGGGGTGCCTGATGGCCCAGGGGGAAGAGGACCCCAGGAGCATGGCTGCAGCACTGGGCGCTGAGGGGACAGGACTGTGCCAATGTGCTGTTCACTGCCTTTTCCTTGTTTCAACCCTCCAGACTGAGAATTGTGAACAACACCCTCCCCAAAATCAGTCTGCGTTCCCTGCCAGGCTTCGGGCACCAGGTGGACTTCAACACACAGCTGCTGGTAGAGAGCAGGTATGGCATGTCCATCAGGGGCATGGCTTGGGGCAGGGGGTCACCATCTCTTTGGAAAGAAGATGGTCAGCAAGTGTCCTGAGCTGCCTGCTGTGCTTCCCCTGGGCAGTGTGCCAGGCCAGCCACTCTGCGAGCGGGTGGAGGTAGACGCAAGCATGCTGGTCCAGGACACGTGGACGGCTCACCAGAACGCTCTGAACTGCAAGACTGTTGACATAAACACCTATGTGAGGTATGAATCTGTGTGAGCAGGTGGCCCATGGCCAGCCCGTGGTTCTTGTGGCACTGGGACACCTTGGTGCTGTTGGTCATTGATGGCAGCATGTTCCTCCCTGGTGCCCTGAAGGTGATCCAGCTGTTCATCTCAGAGGGAAACAGTAGTTTTTTACTTTTACTAAAATTTGGGCTAAAAAAAGAACATTTCTGAGTGTGGGGAACCTAACACTGGGCAGGATTCAGAGGGCTCAGGAATGGTAATATTTCAGCACTGAGTATGGATAATGCAAACGAGGCCTCGTGTTTCTCTTGTGTGAAGTCCTCTTACTTTCCAGTATTAATCTCTGTCACTTGCTATTTCCTATTTTCCTGTTACCAGACCCAGAGTGCCAGTTCTGGATGAGCCTTTGAAACGCCTCCTTAGCGGTGTCCTGCAGGATCTGGTGAGTCTGCAGAGCCACCGTTGTGTGACCCCCCCAGCACAGTGCTGGGTGGGCAGGCAGCACAGGCAGGGCAGGCAGCAGGCCAGGCTGCCCCATGGATGTGGATATTTGCACAGCTGTGAGCTCAGCGGGGCGGTCAGCCTGTCCTGCTGAAAGGCACCAGCACCATCACCTGTGCCAGGCAGATTTCTGAGCCAGGTGCTGGTTTAGCAGCCACTAACCCAGGTGAGACCCACGCTGGCTCAGAGGGGCCGCTCACTCATGCAATGCTGAGTCCTGTGTGATGGGATGTGCCCCCCAGCACTGTCTGCAGCAGCTCTGCCCACATGTGCAGCCCAGCAGAGCCCTCTGCCACTGGCTGTGTTGGTGCCACGTCACCCACTGGTGCAGCGGGTTCCAGGACCCTCTCACTCTCTGCTTCCCCAGGGCTGCAACATCATCAACGCCAAGCTCAAGGTATTGAGCTCCCTGCTTGGCTCCAGGAACCGTAAGTGTTGACACCTCCTGTTCCCCTCCTCTCTGTGACATCTTGCCCTCAGCATTGCTTGGCTTTTTACATTAGGTAAATACAAATATTTTAGCTGTTTTCTAAAACCACAACTCCCAGCTCAAACCCAACATTCAGTTTCCCTGCCCCAGCAGCAGCAGCAGCCAGCTCTTCCTGCAGAAACACACCTCAGGAATGGTTGCTTTTAGAAATATTTTTGCTGCAAAATATTGCTTTCTAGCGTCTTTTCTAGCTGGGAATGCTGTGAGCTGCAGCTGGTTCCAGTAACTCTTGGGACCATGGGATTTGGGAGAATTCCCTGCCACTGCAGCTGCAGAGCTTTCCTCCCGGTGTTCACAGAGGTGCTCCCACTCGGTGCTCTGGGGGACCTGCCCTCCTTCTCCATCCTCAGTGGTGATGCCATCCAGATGGACCTGAATGTAAGTGCCTCTGTGTTCCCTGGTTCTGACCAGACCAAAACCTCTGACTTTGGGGGATCCATTGGAACATGGTGGCTGTTGTCAGAGGCTACTTGGATTTCAGCTGCCTTCAGGCACGTGTTCCCTGGAAAGTTCTGATGAGTCTGCTCCAGCCACACCCCTGCTATTGCCACTGCTGGGTCTCTGCTTTATTTTTTGCCTGTTAATTCTTGATGGTGGCATGAGCAAGAGTGGCTTGATGCTACTTAATTAAGCAAAATTGTAGCACTCTCATAATTTTTAATCAGAAATGTTTAATTTCATTCAGGAGCAGCAGTCACTGCTCCCGGCCACGTTCTGTTTATAAGTGGTTTGTCAAAGTTTGGTAATTGACAGGGACCAGAATCATGCATAAAATATCAGCAATGTGTCTTTCCAATCAGGATATGTGTCTGTGTTTCAGTGGGGAGGGTGTAGCAGATGCAGCCCTTGCCTGTGCCAGAGCAGCCTGGAGCAGCCCTGTCATCATTTAAGTGTTGACAAACCTCGTGTGAGCCTCTCCACGAGGCCACAGGCAGGCAGGGTGCCCAGTGCCATCCTCTGAGCCCCACCAACGTCCCCCCTGCTCTGTCCCCTGTAGCTCCTCTCTGAGAATTCCAGGGCTGGTGTGATGCCCCCCGTGCAGGGACCGCCACTCACTGCCAGCCTGCAGCTGGCCACCGGCCGCCCGCCCCGGCTCAGCCTCTCCCAGGACACCCTCAGCGCCCTGCTGGAGCAGGTCCAGGAGCAGGGAGCCCTCAACCTCAGCATCACCAGCTTGATGGGTAGCAGTTCCCCTCTGCAAGGCCAGGTCAGTGTCCTGCTTGCCCTTGGGTGACCCAAGGGCACCCACTGTTGCCTGTTTGTGTTTGTGGGCTTTGCACAGCCCCTCCCGGGCAGCGATGTCACCGGTGCTGTTCCCACAGGTTACCGACAGCAGCTCGCTGACCATGTCTGCCCTTTTCCCGCTCATCCCCCAGGTCAGTCACCTTCTCCATGTGCATTGATTCCAACCCCACCACCCACCCCACCCTTCCCTGACCTCCTCTGCCCCTGCAGCTCAGCCGGGTGCTCCCTGGCTCTCTGCCACTGGAGCTGCGTGTCCGAGTAAGCAACGAGCCGGTGGTGACTGTGAGGGATGGAAGAGCCACCGTCACCCTCAAGGCCACTATCGACTTCATCAGTCCTGCCCTGCAGAGCCCCCAGGGGCTCCTGTTCTCCCTCGATGTGGTGAGTGAGCTCCCAGGGGATGAGATGCCTGTAACAGGGCAATGGCTGAGGCTGGCTGACTGCTGGCATCCCCTTGGCTTGTCCTAGCCTTGGCCCTGCAGCATTTGTACTTTTGTATTTACTGCATCATCAAAACGGTGATGCCCAGTCCTTTAAACAAGCTCATAACCAAGCATAAAGCGTAAGTGAAATGTTTCAGGAATAACACAAAATAAAGACAGGAAGGTGAACCCTGGGGAGAGAGATACATGGTGCCATCTGTCACAAAAATGTGGCTTCTCGGCACTGACAAGTGTTTTTTCTCAGAATGGGTAATTTACAAATACGCTTTTCAGTCTTGGGAGCTGTGCAGGGGAATAACCTCATTTCTTTCATTGTTCCATTTCCAGGACATCGTTCTGAACATCACTCCATCAGTCTCTGATGGCAAACTGCAAACCTCCCTGGCTCTTGACAGGTAAAGCCCAGCTCTGTGGGTAGAGGGGCTCTGCCTGAGGACAAATGGGGCTGGTGGGGGACATGATAAAGTTGATGTAGACATGGTAAAGACATCAAGGGCTCCTGGAGCCTTTCTGCCTCCTTCCTGCCCCAACCTCAGACCAGCTGCAGGGTTAACGTGATGAGAGTGTTGTAAAATGTTGTTCTTGTTTTAAAATCCTGTATCTTTATGAGGGTGAGAAAACTTCCAGAGCAAGAAAGGGCCTGGAGGAGGCTGCACACCCCAACTCTTCCTTGTTTTTATCTTTTGTAGCATCAACCTGACACGTTTCCCCCCGAGTCTCGACGCTGCCTCTGTAAGTGCATGCACTGGGTCGAGGTGCTGCAGTGAGTGATGCAGTGGCCAGAGGCTCTGTGTAAAAAAACCAAAAGCTAATTCTTCAGTTTTCACCCTTCTACTTGTCTTGGCAGAAAACAATTGCCCTCTGCCCTGCAGATTCCCCATGCCCTACCACAGTGACACCTGGGAGTGTCTCTCCTCGATTGCTGGCAGCACAAGGGGGGTGCTGGGAATGGGGGAGGAATAATTAAAAAGAAATTACCCAAAGAGCATATCCACCCTCAGTCCTGGAAGTCACTGAAGGAAGCTTCCTAGTTCTTGTATTTCATAGCAAACTGAGTAGAACTCAAGTGATAACCCTGGCACGGCCCAAAAACCATTGCTCTCTTCTGCTACTGACACATCCTCTTCCCTGCAGGCCTCCTCGCTCACAGAATGGCTCAAGAAGGTCCTCACAGCTATATATGTACCTTCTCTTAAAGGTATGGGGGGTCAAGGGTCCCCTCTCATCTCAGATTCTGCTGGATTTAGGGCTCTCCCCCTCCCCTTGCTGCCTTCATTTCGGGTTTCATCCCTGTGATGAGATTCTTACACCTCTTTTTGCAGATGCCTTCCAAGTCTCAGTCCCACTGCCCAACGTCCTCAACACCAGCCTCAGGAATGCTGAAGTTGACATCACTGATGTAAGGATTGAGTTTTCCCACTGTGCTGTGTCCTGGGGAGCGGGAATGTGCCCAGCCAGGGCTGGGACATGCAGATCCCACAGCCCTGCGCCACCCTGGCCAAGCTCATTTCCCATGGGCTGCTCCCAGTTTCCCTCTGATGGTGTAGACCCACAGGAAAACCTCGCCTGGGATACCAGAAAAAGGCTGGTGAAAGTCTGAACGAGAAAACTGAGTAGATTTTGTTCTGCTTCTTCCAGGTGGACGAGTTTTCCAGCCAGAGCACTCTACCGAGATCTTGCTCGGGAGGAGCCTCGATGCTGTTCCCTTTCTGAGGCAGCACATGCACCCCAAACCCTGCTCTGCTCCACTTCCTCCCTCTTCCTTTCTCTCCAGCTCTGCCCTGTGCTCTGGCTGTGGCTTGAGCAGGACAAGCAGCAGCCTCTGGACAGCACCAGGGTGGGAAACCTGCTCGGCTGGTGGATGTTTGGGGGTTCCTGTGGCCACTTTTAACATCCAGAGCCAGGAAGCAGAGCTCTTGGGCACAAAGGTTGCCCCCATATTGCTCTTTCAATAAAATCTCTCACTGTCACAGTATTTTCCTCTCTGGATATTTATTTATATGTGTTTCTGGCTCCCCACACCTGTTTGCCTGCTCCATGCCCCTGTGCCACCTGGGGCACGGATGGGTGGGCAGGCTGTGCCTTCAGAGGACAAACTGGTACCTGAAGAGAGCATTTCTGAAGCTCAGCCTGTGGCACCAGGCGTGAAACAGCCTCTCCCAGGGGCACTGGGTTTGGTGCACGTGGGTGCCCTGCTGCAGCCCATCTCTTGTGCCTGACTGGTGGGGGGCAGAGGGGATGCAGTGCTGGCACAGACCTTGCTGGTATCTGCCTCTCCTTTGGAGCCCTTTGGAGCAGCTCCTGCTGGCAGCAGGTCCCACATGGAGCCTGCTGGTGCTGGTTGTGCAAGGCTCTGTACAGAGCCAGGCACAGATAATGTGAGCACACACTCCTTAGGGATTTATTTAGGTGTGTGTTATCCCCTTGTTGTGTAAGACTCACCAGGTTATCAAAAAAAGCACATTTGATCTCACAAAGGTATTAAGTGTTGAGGGCACCAGAACAAAAGCGCCCTTATGGCCAGGAGTGGCCGTGGAGGTGTCCCAGCACAGGGGTTTTTTGGAGGAAACACCGTTTGCTGGGAAGGAGCTGGCAGCTGCAGGATGGGTGGGACAAGCCTCAGGAACCACTTCTCGAGGTTCCTTGAGCACTAAAGGAGACAAAAATCTCCTGGCACTATTCCAAAGCCTCCCCATGCACTTGCTGGAAACTTAAAAAATTCCCCCTGATCCGGTAGCGTGTGTGTGCCAGCCTGTGTGGAAGTGTCAGCAGGGGTTTCTGTGGAAGAGGCTGATTTCCCAGCACAGCTCTCAGGTCAGTGCAGCCTCACGTGCTGCAGCCACAGAGCCCCAGACACCTTTTCCTTCCCTTTTGCCCTGGGCTCTTGGGTAACAGTGCCTGGTACTGGCTGTCCATTGCTGCTCAATGCTTTCCCCTGGTTTATGAGTCCTTATTTATAGTGGAATACATGAAACTCACAAATGGTGCTTTACATCCTCAATCCACCAGCCAGCTTTGAAAATTTAAACACCTTTATACTGTCCTGCAGCACCATCACTGTGTGGGTTAAAGCAAAGCTGCCCAAGGCCTGACTTGAAATTCAGGATAAGCTCAGGAAGAGAAAAAGTTCAAGGCACTGTGAGTTTGGAGGGAAGTCACAGAGCCTCTGTTTTACCCCCAAACCTTATGATATATTCTGGTGAGCCAAGAAAAAACACAGGAATAAATCCAACAATAGTGGGAACGAAGGTGAGTAATTCTAGTTTATATTTAGTGGCTAGTCTGAAAAATCAGAAAAGAGGTTGTTATAGCAAAATGAAAACCCTTTTCTGAAAATCCATTCATTTAACATGAAAGTTCAAGGAGGTTTTGTGTAGTGATATCCTTTTGAGGTTCTGGTTATTTTTATCATTATAAGGTTAAAATGGGCCATTTTAATAAGAAAGGCCAGTGTGAGTCACTGATGTAATTTCAGCCTTAGTTTGCACAACTCACCTCAGGGTGAGGTGGGCTCAGTTTGGGCTGTAAAGGAGAAAAGGAAAGGAGTTTTGAGTGATGAGTGCCACCAGTACCACTCTGTAAGACAGGAACCAGTGGATTTTTGGGATTGCCACCCTCATTCCAGCGCCAGTGACCAGCCAGGAAAGGGAGAGGAGCTGCCTGTGGAAGGGGAAGATGCTCGTGAGCAAACCTCCCCCTCCAAAGCGAGCCTGGAGTAGTTTTGTTTATGCAATTAGAGTTCCAGCTGTGGGAAGGAGCAAGCTCTGTGCGGTAGCCGGAGGTGCCGCAGGTTTTCGGGGCAGAAGAGGCTCCCGAGCCGGGCGGGGCAGGAGCAGCGCAGAGGATGCTCGAGCCGCAGCTCCCGCCCCGCTCCGCCTGCCAGCCCAGCAGAAACACAGTAAACAAGGCAAAAGCACCAAGCCCTCTGAAAAAACTGGAAAGTAACTTAAACAGGAAAAGAAATGAGAAAATGCGGTGTCTTTTGCCATTTCTGGTCTGACTGGGCTCTGACTCCCCCCGCCCCTGAGCACGGCTGTGTGCGAGCGGTGGAGCCCGGCTGGGCTTGGAGCTGTCACTGTCACTGTCACTGTCACTGTCACTGTCACTGTCACTGTCACTGTCACTGTCACTCGCAGTGTCCCTCTCGCTGTCCCTGCAGGCTGAGGATGGTGGAGCTGACGCTCCCCAGGGTGTCCTGCAGCCTGGCATGGGCATTTACCTCAACCCTCAATGGCAAGAGGTGAGCCGGGCTGGGGCTGGGGTTGTTCACTGGCATTAAAATCAGACTCCTGAGAGGGTGAGTGATGCAGGTGTCCTCCCCTGCTGGCATGAGCCACCTCGCCATCGGGTTCTGCCAACTCCAACCCACACCCTGTGAATGGCCAATGTACGAGGGCATTTCCCTGTTCCCTGCCACCATCCCTGCAGGTGACAGCCACCCACTGGCCATGTCACAGGGCCGGTGCTGCTGGTCTCTGTGCACCCCTCACACAGCCACAGGGAGTGATGTGCTGTCCCAGAGACCTCGGGGCACAATTCTGTCCCATGTGCCACCTTCAGAAGTTATTTTAGTGGACATGGTGCGCGGGTCTTCTGAGACGTGAGCACGTAGTGTAGGAACCACTCAGCCTGAGATTTTCTCTGCTCATTTAAGGAGACTATACACTAGCAGATAAAAGGCAGCAATAAATTTCCCATCGGCTATTTTGGGATGCAAATTACAGTTATCTCATGCAAAATCCAAGCAGAAACGATTCACTCTGCTGCTGCAATTGCCTTGCTCCGGGAGGTCTGTGCTCCACGCTATTCACAGGGAATTGTTTAACAAGACCCATTTACTTTGCAGCAGGTTGTTTTCATGGTGCTCCTTTATTTTTCCACAGCCTGCTCCCAATTGCAGATAATTTATTGGCAAGTGTCCTGAACAGACTGCTTCCTAATCTGGTAAGTCGGAAAAATAAAACATTCTGAGGTGGAGCAATGAGTCTGAAAAGATGTGGTGCAGCTCCCTGAGGCATTGCTGGTGCCTGGAGCAGAAGCAGAGCCACTGTTCCAGGGCTGCTGCATCCACCCAGTACTTTGGGATTAGTGGGAGACACATTCCATGTCTCCATCAGCTTCCTTCCTTCCTTCCTTCCTTCCTTCCTTCCTTCCTTCCTTCCTTCCTTCCTTCCTTCCTTCCTTCCTTCCTTCCTTCCTTCC